AAGAACTCTCTGGCTTCAAGCTGATGGAAAAGGGCAGAGAAGCCATACTCAGAGTTTCCAGATTTTTTTCTGGAAAAACTCCAGCATGCTTAGCATACTACACTGCAGAAAGACACTGATTTCATCATCTCTCCTTCATATCTGGGGAGAGCTTTCCACCCTGGTTAAACTGCTGGTCCTTGGTCCTGTGCTGCATGACTGTGGGGTTGTTGCCTCTAGAAATTGCTGGAATTGTGGAGCTGATATTATTTCACACAGGAAATCTCAGCAATTTTCTAAATAGATCATGAGCTGAAAGACTACTGGATAACAGTTCTCATAAAGAATTGTAGTGACAGGACAAGGTGGAATGGCTTCAAACTGTAAGAGAGTGGGGTTAGATGGGATATTAGAAAGAAATTCTTTCCTGTGAAGGTGGTGAGGCCCTGGCACAGGTTGCCCTGAGAAGCTGTGGCTGCCCCATCCCTGGAAGTGTTCAAGGCCAGGTTGGACAGGGATTGGAGCAACCTGGGATAGTGGGAAGTGTCCCTGCCCATGGCAGGGGTTGGGACAAGATGATCTTAAAACATTCCATGTTTCTGTTATACAGCTGTGATCCCTTTAGGTTCTGGTAGCCCACAGTGTCTCATGTAAAAAAACTAAACAGAAGCAAATTGACATGTTCAGATCATCTAAATCCAGCTGATTCAACAAATCAGTTTCTCCTCAACCCACTATTTAATAGTTGTCAGCCCCAGCCCACACGTCCCTGCACAGGCTGCACCTGCAGAGGTAATTGCAGTCCATGGGGGCTGTTTTTAGGAGGAGAAAACACAAAAGGTGAAAGACTTTTCTTCCTTCTTTTGTGCAGAGTAGGATCCTTGGCAGTAAGGTGAGGTACAGACTGGGGCTGTGAATGTTTGTAAAAGGACAGACAGACGGAAGGAAGGAAGGAAGGAAGGAAAGAGGGAGGGAAAGAAGGAAGGAGGGAAGGATATACTTTGAGGGGCAGATGGAGTGTGAGTAGTCCTTTTAAAGAGATGCTGGCAAGTAACACTGTTGCGAATTACCTCTGTCATGTTGGAACTTCATCTTCTATTTGCACAAGAAATATAACTTCATTTTGGATACCCAGAATTCTTCTGAGAGAGGCATTGTGTTCCCAAAGAACAGATACGTTTTTTTCCTTTGTGCAGATCCATTCTGGCTTTAAACCTGCTTTCTTCTCACATGCCCAGATGATAATCTTTTACATGTACTTATTAAAAAATATCACTTTCAAAAAATAAAAACACAGGCATATTCTGTACTTGTTCCTTTCTTTTCTTCAAGATTAATTTCCCATTTTCCCATCTGACATGTCTGTCATTTGAGTATCTCCACAACCAAGAAAAAGCCCATTCTTTTCCCTTTTGTAGATTCACTGATATTAAAAGCAGAATGAAATGTGTTCCTATCTCCTGGGCAGCTGACCTGTTTGTAGAGATGCATCTATTTATCTTTATTGTGAGGGGGGTGAGGCCCTGGCACAGGTTGACCAGAGAAGCTGTGGCTGCCTTATCCTTGAAAGTGTTTAACCCCAACCTCTTCTGTGCTAAACTAATGGTTTTTTTCTTTCTTCTCTGTCCCACAGAGATCCCTGGGTGTCCAGGAATGGTCAAGAGCTGAATGGACCAACCTCTCTTCCTCACCATCCTGAGCTCACGAGGGCTCTGAAGAGATTGAGTGGGAGCATAGCCTTGCTTCCCTGAGCCTGGGGATGCTGTGGGAAGTGATTGCCTTGGCAAATATCTTCATCCTAATCCATAGCCCATCGTGCATCACCTGAAGGAGAAGCTGGTGAAAGATAAACAGGGGACCAGGAAAGGCTCTGCTAGCCTTGGAGGACACCGCTGGGGACTGGCACTTTGCAGGAGTCACTGCTTGTGGAACCAGCTCTGGAAAAAGGCTACAGGAGCCCTGTGAACTGAAGGAGGGGAATGTCTAAATCATGATGAAAGGTGCAGAGGTTTCCCAGGCACAGCAAGCAAGGAAAATGCTTTCAAAAGGGGAGTACCAGGACCACGTGGTCATCTCCAGTGTCTGATTTGGAAGAGGCACAGCAGGGTCACTGCCTTATGGTCAGGTCAGGAGACCAGCAGGATGCCTGTTCACGTGCTGGCTGGGGAACCAGATGATAAAGGAATCTGTCCAAGACTGAGAGAGAAGGAGTGTGCAAGATTGCTTTGACTTATTCTGTGCTTGTTTCTCCTTCTCGTGTCTTCTCTGTCTACCTCCTCTGTAGGCCCATATACATCACGTGGTGCCCAGACTCTCACAAACGAGCAGAAGGATTGGCACAGGGCAAATCCTGCCCAGTGCAGATGCAATGTGGTCTTTGTTTGTTCCTTGTGCCAACAAATCTGCAACTGTCATGCCTGGACTTCAGACAGCAAAAAGGCTTGAACCTGGCAGTTTTCCTTGCAAGCAGTCACATTCTAGCATGACCAGCAACCCTTGGGAGCCAAGTTGTAACACCTGAGCCTCAAAACATCGTAGAGCATCTGTCCCTCTCCTGCAGCTGTGGGAAGGAGCATATGGGCAGGCTGCACACTCAGCTCCTGCTTCTTGAATTGGGAAGAACTCATTAAGCAGTGAAAGAGACAGACGTGGAGGGAGTGACGGATCTCAGGCAGAAAACAGTAGGAAAAACTGACTCAAAACCATAGGATGATGTGCACCTTTGACTTGCAGGTGGTGCCCCACCTGTGGACTGTCATGCCCAGCTGGGCAGCTGCAGATGTCTGGTCACTGAGCTGCTCCCAGAGGCCTGGGCAAAACATGCTGGTACCAAACTGTGCCGGGAGCCCCATCTCAGACCTTCTCTCTTGGGCTTCCAGCTGCAAACCCCTTCCCTCATGTGCAATTGTATTTATTTATTTATTTTCTTGCTGCTTGATGTGAAGCTGCTAAATGAGCCGCCTCCCCAGAAACACCTGCAGCCAAGACAGGACGGAGAGAGGGGGCGTGTGGTGTGTCTGTGCCAGGGGAGTGGGCAGAGGGGCAGGAGAGAGGGACACCTTCCAGGAGCAACCTTCTAGTGGAAGCTGTCCTTGCCCATGGTGGAGAGGTTGGATTAGATGATCTTTAAGGTCCCCTCCAACCCAAACCATTCTGTGATTCTATGATAAGCCTTGAACGAGGTGCCTCATCCCTGAAGGTGTTCAAGGTCAGGTGGGATGGAGCTCTGAACAACCTGGTATAGCAGAAGGTGTCCATTCTATGGTTCTGTGATCTGAACATGCCTACAGAGGGAGCATTCAAGGCAGGAGGAAAAAGCTGCAGTGAAACCCCAGTCTCCCTGGGATGAGGGTGCAATTTTGCTCTGTCAAGAACTAAGGACAAGCTGGGCAAAGCTTTGTTGGGAAGGACAGCAGGACAGCTGCAGCCTGCATAAGCTTGGGAATGTCCCTGTAGCCAAATTTCCTCCATGCAGCTGTGCTTGTGCAGGACATGTCTCTGTGCAAGTTGTTCACCCAGGTCGTGCCCTCCCAGCATTCCCTGAAGCAAACTTGCAGTGTCTACACTCACAGGAGGACATATCCCCAGACAGGCAAGTTCCCACCAGTGTGTTCACTGAGGTTATTGAACCAGGTATTTACCTGGCAGCTTTTTCTGCTCTAGACACCTGTCACAGACTCATTTGACACAGCCAGTTTAAGACCAGCCTCTCTAGGCAGGGCTGTAGCTGTGGTGTAGTGGCCCATGCTCAGCCTTGGCTGTTCCTTCCCTTTTTGCCTAAAAGCTGGCACACCAGCAGCATCCACTCATGGTCAGGTATCCCATTTTATGGAGAGCCTGTGTGTCCCAGTGCAGAGGGGAAATATTTTCTGGGAGAGGGGGGCTCTCCAGTGCCCTGCTATGGTCTCACAGCTCCCACGCTCAGGAGGGACCAAGGCTACCCTGACATCCTTGGTGCATCTCCCAGCTGCTCCAGGAGAGCCTGGCTTCTCCCATACCCTTCCCTCTGAGACACCCCAGCAAGGCTTTGTCCAAACCTGTGTGGCTGCTGACTGGAAATATTTCCCAACAAAACCTGTTCCTCAGAAGATTCTTGGCTGGTTCTAGTCCCTTATTATGTACTGGAAACACTATCCGTGGGATTTGTTTTCAGGTTAGAGGCATGCATGGGATCACTGTAGCTCTTTTTCTCACAAATCCCCTGATGTGCAAGAGCAGGCTGCAGCAAGTGGAATGGATGCACTTGCTCTGATCATTTGCCAGCATGGCCCTAAAGCAGTGACCTGCTCATTGCTGATCACTGCCTTGCAGAGTTGTACAAGTTGGAGACAGGAGAGGTGTATTACAAATCCATCTGCCTCTGACACTTCAGGCTTGTTCCATATATTACATTTACTGGTGGTGTGCTGGGTCTATTTTTAAATGCCCTGACACCAGGGTTATTGTGCTGTCCTTTGGGAGACTGCTCTGTGCTCCAAGTCAGGAGCTGCTATTAGTTTTCCACCTGCATTTTCTCTTGAAAAGTTCATTCCATTATTCCTAGTGATGCTCTTCAAATGCCTGCTGTTCATTATGTTCTACCACTTGACCTGCACTCTCCTTTTTCTTCCAAGAACATCTCTGGCTCCCTGATCGCTGCTGCTCCCTGTCCTTCCCGTGGCTTGGCACAGAATGAGCCTGTTCATTAATTCAGCCATGCTGAGTTTGTCAGGGTTCCGTACCCACCACTGGAGCAGCCAGGAGTTCTGGCAATGCCCAGTCTCCCCAGCAGCTGTGGAGCTTCTCTCTCCCTCATTGTGAAGCTTGTGGGGTGCAGGGAATGGGCAGACACAGAGATGTGTCCAAAAGCCAATCAGTGTTGGCAGTGAGCACTTGTTTCCCAACATATATGGAAGAAACTCTTCCCTGTGAGGGTGGTGAGGTCCTGGCACAGGTTGCCCAGAGAAGGTGTGGCTGCCCCATCCCTGGAAGTGTTCAAGGCCAGGTTGGATGGAGATCTAAGCAACCTGGTCTAATGGAAGGTGTCCCTTCCCATGGCAGAGGGTGGAATGAAATCATCTTTAAGGTCCCTTCCAACCCAAACCATCCTGTGACTCTGTGATCCCATGTGAAGTGATCCCTGTTAGGGACAGTGCACAGCCAAGCCCCCATCTCAACAACAGCTCTCTGCAAGGAGGGATCCCCACACCCTGTGAGTGGGGGGAGTTTGGCAGGCTCAGTGCACGTGGAGAGTTTCTGTGGGGATCCTGTGTGTGCAGAACTCAGCTGGAGCACCATCGTCATTGTAAGAGCTGTGTTATTCTCACTGAACAAATTGTTCCGACAAATAAAGAATGAAATGTCCTGCTCTTCCCACTCTTCTTTTTTTCTACACTATTCATCAATTAGTGCCAGAGGAAGGGAGTGCAACTGGATAGTGGGAACAGAAAGATGCCCAGGAGCTGCTGGGGCTGATGAGGAGGAGAGGCTGGATGCAGTCAGGATAGCCAGGGTAATTCAAAACACAAAATGCACCAGCCAGGGCTTTTCCTTCAAGCCTACCTGATGCTGTTGGGTGATGGGTTGTCGTATCTCCAGGCACTGTGGGAATGGGTTGTGGGACCAGGCTAGGGAGGAGCTGAGCAACAGCAAGGCAGTGGGTGTGGGGCTGCAGGTGCTGTGGGGCTGAGCAGAAGGAGATCTGGTCAAAGAAACCAAGAAGAAAAATGGACAGATGAAAGAGGGTGCTGAGTCTCTCAAGGGTTTCACAGAATGACAACAGAGGAATCTGAAGTCTTCTTCGTGGCAGTGTCATCCCATGGGCTGGTTCCTTACCCACACTTCAGATCAGTGATGGAGCAGAAAGCTCCTTAATTCCTCCTCTCAGTCCCCAGCTGTTCTCCTTGGTGACCCAGGGCAGGGTGGCAGTGACAGAGTTACAGCTTTTCAGAAGCAATTGTCAGGGGAAATTTTGGTCCCCAAACAACGAAAGAATCAAGAATGACACATTTCCAACCGAATTTATGATGAGACAATTAATCATCCCAATTTAAACCAGTGGAGATCCTGGAGTGCCCTAATACATAAAGATGCTTCAGACAGAGGTTGTGCTAAGTGTCAGCAGCCCATTCTCTGGCTGCCACGGGGCACAGGGCTCCAGGCAGCAGCACACTGTGGGTCCACAGTGCTCCAGTGGGATCTGTATGCAGCACTGCCAGGGTAATTTGGGAATTTGATGTCTTCTTATCACAGAACAGCCTGGAAATGATGCATAACTGCACAGATCCCTGTGGTGCCATACCTCTGCTTTTTAGTGTGACTGGGAACAACACAAACTCAGCAGCTCTCTCAGAACATTTCCAAAGTCACATATGACTAAGACACTTCTGTGCCAGCCATGAGTACCCACTAATCCATATTAGAGAGGCTTGTCTAACTAACAGGATCAATTTTCTCCATCTCCCAGGCTTTGTATCTGGATTTACAGAGCTCTGGGGTCAGCCCTGGGTTTTGGGACTGGATAAACTGTAAGCCTTATTTGTCAAGAGCACACACCACCCTAGTGTCTCCAGACATCCCAGGATGTGTCCAAGTATCTTTCCAAAGTTCCTAAAGCTTTAAACCAATCCAGAGAAAAGAGCTGTGAGAAGATTATTGCAGCACATAACTGCAATAAACCTTTTCTTCGTCCTTTCATGGTTAGAGGTATGAACATGAATTATGGCAACTTAAACCTCTTGAGAGCAGCATGTAAAATTGCTTTCTCAAATGGCTGGTAAAGAGCATTGTTAACCCAAGATGTCAGTGCTCACAATTGCTGTTGCCTGAATGAAGCTATTTTACAAGTCAGTTTAATCCTTCCAGGAATCAAACCACCCCCATCCACCCTCACCAAGCAGCAGATTCACTCTTTGCCCTTGTTTTCTGACCCGTTTGTTCATTCGAGACTCTGGCGCCATCACCTCTCGCAGTAGATGAGACATGTCATAACTTGCAAATGTAAACAGGTTAATAAAACCCCCACATCTGGCCAGATTCCAGGCTACCTTGCACATAGCAGAGGCTGCAGAGAAGTCAGGGGCTTCTCATGTGCAGCCAGCAGTTTTAGGATCATTTTTTCAGCTGTCACGCAAGCAGGGCTGCCAGCCCCCAGCATGTAGGACACCTTCCTGCCCTGTTGCTTCTGGGTGTAGATTTTCCTGGAGGATGGAGGATGATAGAGGGGACTGTGCCCTCAAGACCTGATCCAAGAGCAACAGTCCCCCCAGCCATGGCTACATCCCCTCATTCAATGATCCTCCCTCTCTCAGTATCCTTTTAAGAACCACACTGCTGGGCATAAGCAGCAGGTACTTTCCTTGCTTTCCTTGTATGCCTTTTGGTGGATGTGTCCCTTTCCCTGGCCTGACACCACCCCAAAGAATGCTGCTGCTACTTATATTATTCCTAAGCCTCTTCCCCCAGCCTAAGCTGGCACCTTCCTGGGGCACAAGCTGATTTCTGGGTCTCACACACACATTTACTTTCAATCCTATAGGCACAAATCTCAATAAATGTTGGATTAAAAAATTCCAAGATGGTAATTTACCATAATTTTGATTAATATGTTAGAATGTTTAATTCCCAGGTGCTCTGTTTCAGTCTCAATGGAAATTGGTGGAAGGGATCACCTTTGGATTGCAGAATCCTGATGCTGAAGGGATGGTTTTGCCTCACCAGTTGAGGAAGTGGTGAGGGCTGGGTTATTTGCCTGCTTTTCTTTTTGTACATGTCAGTGAAATTCATAATGAAATGTGGATCTGCCCAGACCAGGCTGTCATGTGACAGAATGAAAGGAAAAACATGAAGAAGGGGTGTTACAAAAATGGAAATTACGGTCATTAAAGCACAAAAAATGACATAAAAATATATCTGGGCATTACAATCACCAGGCTGGTTTATCCATGTTGCTTCTCTAAAGCTTACTGTGACTGGAAACTGGAAAAGAAGATAAATAACTAATGCTGTGGTTAACCATTAACTATTTTACTGCAAGTCTTGACCACAGCCTGCATGGGGAGCCCATGTTTTTAAGAGTTAATCTTCGCTGAAAGCCCATCCAGGCCAGTGGAAAGGCTGCATGAGTGTCCAGGGATGCAGATGACTATTAGCTGTGTTTGCAATGGCAGTAGCAACCAGGCAACCAGAGCAGGGAGCTCCACGGCTCTGGGTGTCACACCAGCCGTGTGGGAAAGGGTCTAGTCCTGCAAAGCTCAGGATCTAAATAGGCGAGAGGGGTTAAACAGGAGAATAAAGACAGGCAGGGGAGATGTCCCTGGGGCACCAAACGGGATCCAAGTGAACTCCCTGGTTAAGCTGAGGTCGGCAAAACACCAGGAAATGATGATCAAAGGAAATGGTAACTCTTATCAGGAATTGGGGTGATAGACAAGGAGAAATGGGTTCAAAATGAAAGAAGGGAAATGTAAGTCAAGTATTAGGAAAAAATTCTTTACTGTGAGGGTGGTGAGGCCCTGGCACAGGTTGCCCAGAGAAGCTGTGGTTGCCCCATCCCTGGAAGTGTTTAAGATAAGGTTGGATGGAGATTGGAGCAACCTGGTGTAGTGGAAGGTGTCCCTGCCCCTGGGAAGGGGTTAGAACAAGATGATCTTTACAGTCCCTTCCAACCCAACCCATTCCATGATTTTATGACTATCCTATGGTAGGATAAAATACCTCTCTAGACGGGCTATTTTCCTACAAGGTTACAAAATTGCTGTGGAGTAGCTCAGATGGAGACATCTACATTCAGCCAGGCAAATCCTGGTCACTCACTCTGCTCTCTGCAGCCTTTTCCATGGCCCTGCCTTGGTACAGACACAGGGACCTGACTCTCTGGCAGAGATGTGTTTTACCCCTGCTGCCAGTCTTCCCAGGGCAGGGAGTACAGCAGTGCCCTGCCCTGGGGAGCAGCACATTCCTGTTTCCATCCCTGCACATGCCCGATGGCTGCACAAGCCCAGTGGGAGCATCAGATGCTGCTTCTTGAAAGAAACACGTGCAGAAACTGTAGCACCAGAAAACAATTGCACAACTAAGCACCAAACATGCAAAGGCAGATTTTGGGAAAGGTTCTGTGCTTGTTTAAAGGCAACAGTTTTCATATTTGAAAAATAATTTCAGATGTTTCTTTCTAGAAAACAAGTAAGTCACATCTTAATCATCACATTGTTCCCCTTTCTAATGCCAAGTGGAGTGCACTGACCCAGGGACTGTTCCACTTCCTTCTACACTCTTTCAGCTGGAGAAGGTTTGTGATTCTTATGTTTTTTAAACAACCAAGGAGGGGGATGGGAAAATATGCGAACATCCTTAGCATCATCTGAACAAGTGCATTTGGGGACAAAGCAAACAAGGAGGAAATTAAATTTTTCAGTTTTCTTTTATCGTCAGAACCAAAGTAAAATGAATGTGTCAATCCAAAATGAAGTTAGTCATGTTTCAGAGACCCCCAAAATGAAAGTGCAATCAGAAAGAATAGGTTTTTGGATGAAAATATGGTTTTGATTGATGGAGTCTGACTCCTTGATCCCCAAACTGTAGCTAAGCAGACTTGAATGGCACTTCCAGCCCTCCATCCCGTGGCTGTAGCTGAGTGCTTCCTGCTGATCCTTGTACAAACTCCAGATGGTTTTGGTAAACAGCCTGAGAATCCTGCTTGGCAGTCGAGCCCTTGTGCCTCACAGACATCCCACACCCCATGGAAAGGTGGGCACAGCACGAATTTTGTCACGACAGGTGGAAGAGGGGAGCCCCTGCCTTGATCCCCCATTCTGCCACCTGCACTCCAGCCTCAGATGCTGGTGCTCCTGGCAGTGAGTCACAGGATAATGGCATGAGAAATTCATGTGGCATTTGCCAGCGACTCAGTGGGCTCTGAGCAGCCCAGTCGGCTGTGGCGGCTCCAGGATGGCACCTGTTGCTGTTGAGGCTGCACTCGGTGGGGGCTTGGTGCTATTTTTGGAGTGTGCTTGAGGGCAGGAAGGATTAGCATGCCCCAAATGCAGCAGAGAGGGCTCTGATTTGCTCAGCAACAAGCTCTGCCCCAGCTGGGGAAAGGAAGGGCTAACCTGGACTCCCTGGGTGTGAATGGAGCAGGTCCAGAGCAAGATGCTCAGAACTCACCACTGTCAGCAGAGGGGACAATAAGGGGAAGTTTGCAGCAATCTTGGTTTGCAGGTGGAAGGTGCTGGCCAGAAGCCAAAGCTTCTCTACCCACATGATGCCGAGCAAAGTGTCCCATGTCTACACCGGGTGGGGTACAAGTGAGAGACACAGCCCTAGAAAGGGGCTTAGAGGAGGGAAGCAGGAGGAAAAGATGTTTT